TTTCATTATCATAGTTAAATAATGTGGAGACCAGATTTGAGAATTATAAAACATTATAGGTCTTACCAGGGTCTTGTACATATAAATAATAGTGTCAAACTTAAATTTACTGGCTGATCTAATTAAAAAACCTAGGATTTTAAAGGCCTTGTTAACCGTATTTTGCAATTGAATATCGAATTCAAAATTCTCTTGAAATATTATACCTAAATCTTTTTGTTTTATAACTCTTCCCAAGGAAATATTGTTTGCAAGATAGTTAGTTTCAAATTTATGACCTCTATAAAAAGTTAATACCGAACATTTTTCAGTATTCAAATGATTCAGTATTATGATTATATTTTTATGAAGTACCTGTAGATTTAAGAATAGCAAATGATGATTTCTCAAAATGTTACCGTTATTAAAGTAAATCCCTAAGAAGAGTTTAGAAATCAATAGTAAACAGACTCTCAGGCGCCAGAATACAGCATCCAAAAACTATGACTGTTTCAACAAGCAATACAAAAAAACAACAACAAAGTAAAAATTATAAAAAATAGTTTTTAAAAAGTATATATGTCTATCCACATAAAATTAGTAATTACTACTTACGTGTTTCTTAATTCCGCGTGTGTTAAATCGTAATTATAACACTTTTTTAACAAAACACCAAAACAAAAAACAAATAAAAAGGCACGAATTTGCATTATAAAGGGTTTTATAGTCTTTTTCCAAACACATGCGAGCACGATTTCGAATTTATTTAGGTCTTATTCTTAAACCCCACAAATCTCCGGCGTTTGCGCGCTGGAATCTTAAAAATGAAGCTTCCTAATTAATTTCACTTTATTATTCTCTTCATCTCACTACAACTCTACTGTTTAATCGAACAGTTGTAGTTAAAAATAAAAAATCCAGTAATAGGTAATTTTGGCAGATATGTACAGCAAACAAAATTAAAAAGGAAGACACGAAAAAGAACACCGGACCGGTTATTGGTTTATAAACCCAAAAATCTTTATAGAAATATATATATTTCAGTTTTGTAATAGAAATACACATAAAAATACATTTTTACATTCAATGTTTTGTTTTCCTCCTTGGCAGCCCTCGTGCTGGGTCTCACGATTACTTTTACCGTTAGTACCATTACTTCATATATTTTTACTAGCCAATTAACGTAGTACTTTCGCAACACCCAGTAATTATTAGTAAAATAATTATGTGAAATGATTTATCACCATGGCTATTTTCAAGTGAATATGCTGTTGTTGGTTTAAAGTATGAAGTTACGATTTCTTTATTTGGTTTTGCCTTAAATCTGATGATCACGTTAGTAAAAATTGTTATTTATGTAAATTCATATTTATTAATCCCCTCGTTGTTCTACAATATCTACGCCGCTGTATAATAGTTTAAGTAATTTTAATTATGCATGTAATGTCATTTCTATATCTCATTGTAATGTATTAGTGCGTTAATTTTATTTTTAAATACCTAAGTGATTCTCCAAAGGTTGTCTACTAGAATTACAAAAACATTTCGCGTACAATAGAGTAATTAATTACGGGATTAAAACTGATTATATCTATAATTAATAAGTTGGTGCTGCAATACTAGATTTTGCAACCACAATTTTAGGGAAAAACTGTAGGAATCTATTTTTTTTACATTACATAAAACAACAAACTGATAAAGCACCTATTTATTTTTGTTCAAAACAGAAAAACACATTTTAATACTTATCGTTAGCTTACCGACCTTGAACCATGTGATCTTTTATCGTGCATGTATATGTATGTTCGTACATATATGTTGTAATAACATATAAGACGCAACAGTAAAAGATATGTATAAATAAGTATTAATTGTAAATTCATTATACTAAAAGGCATCTCCAGCGGCTTCCGAATATTCAGTTGCATACTGAGCATTTGTTAGCAGTGGCGTTTTCTGCTTAATTCCCGATAAAGAATCAAGTTTTGTGGAAAGTTAATTTCATCAACCAACACAATGTCGAGCGATGAAATTCAAAACGTCTGGCGCCAAACTGATGCCGTGTGCTTTGACGTAGATTCTACCGTAATTCAAGAAGAAGGAATTGACGAACTAGCAGGATTCTTAGGAAAAGGAAACGAAATCGCTCGACTGTGAGTTTCTCTTTCATATACACATGTTTAATAAATTAACTTTTACACTAACAACAACCATAACAGATCTTTGCAATGATCATTGATCATCTGATTTTATTCAGCGATTGTAAAAGAGTAACATTATAAATTAGAAAAAATGTTCTAATTAAATATTTAGATATTTTAACACAAAAATTAAAAAACCTAGTAATAAGAATTAAGAATTAACTAATGATTTCCAGTGGCGTACTGTCAGGTATAAGCCGAAGTGTTTGTTTTTTATAAATAGTTAATGCTTGTACTTTTACAGAACGAGAGAAGCAATGTCCGGAGACATGACTTTTCGTCAGTCCTTAAACATAAGGCTGAACATCCTTCAACCGACATTAGTACAAATCAGAGATTTTGTAAGAACAAAACCACCGACTTTAACACCAGGAATAAAGTACGCACAAGCACATTATGTATTCAACAATTAAGAAAAAATTAAATTTAAAATATAAGACATCGCTTTTTTAGAAAACTAGTCGATGTTCTTCATTCCCGAAATGTTCCTGTATTTTTAGTTTCCGGTGGCTTTAAATGTTTCATATCCCCAATAGCATCCAAACTCAATATTCCAATAGAAAATGTATTTTGCAATCGACTGAAATTCTACTATACAGGTAGAACGAATTAGTTATTAACTACTAGTTGTTCATATTATGTAATGTACTTTGTTTCATCAACTTCATTCAACTTATTGCTGTATCCTGAACTACTACTATGAACTTTATTTTATTCTACAATTCCGTTCCTTTTTAAAGGAGAGTATGCTGGGTTTGATGAAAATGCGTTCACATCGGAAAGCGGTGGAAAGGGGTTAGTAGTTAATTATCTTAAACAAACTTTTGGATTTAAAAAGCTTGTCATGATCGGGGATGGAATGACCGATTTGGAAGCATCGCCTCCTGCTGATGCATTTATAGGTAAAATTAGAAATATTTGTAATATCGTAATGTACAACAATACTGTAAGTTTTAATCGTATTTGTTTAAGGCTATGGCGGTAATATTATTAGGGAAAAAGTCAAAGCCAAGTCAAAATGGTACGTGACGGATTTTAACGAGTTGATAGGTCTCCTTAAAGAAAAGTGAAATATGTAATTTTTAAGGTGTAGGTGACTGAAATCGTTGTTAATATATTTTGTTAAATAAATTTGCCTTTTTGTTAGTTATTGTTTTCTCCGTAGTAATACTCGGACGCTCCTATTCCCAAAAAATTCTCAAACAGCCGCCATAGGGTTCCGCAGCTTCTGCAACCGATGACAATAATTATCTTCGACTCATCAGATTGAAAAATTCGTTCTCCTACGTCTAAAATCTTAGAAATCAAATAGGAACCGCCATTTTTACGGACAGCCATAAAAAAACTATGAGTACCTTTTTTACCATTTTGCTATAAAGCCCTAAAATGTCTAATTTTCTTCTATGGTAGTATTATGATACTCTGTAGTTGACTCAGGCTTGCGCCTGATGTCACTGTCAGCTGTTCGATCAGCTGTGTTTGTACGTAATTGTCATTAAATTGTCAAATTATACCATTTTTTATCGCAAAGTCGTAAATATCTGCATTATTAGAAAATTTATGATCACCAGGGCATTTTCGTTTGTATTGTGCTTTTACCAATTTATGGCTTGGAGATCGCACGGAGCAAATAATGAAGATTTGGTCAGGCAATTGAGATGTATGTTCTTGATAATATATCACAAACAATTCTTGATCATTGCGAATGCTTATTTTACAGCGCATAACATCATTAAAAGTGATGTGGTAGAAGAAACTATGCTGAAAGTTGATAGGGGTCATTACTGTAAAAATAATCCGTATATCGACGAACCCCGAAGCATTGGTTATGGGGTAACCATAAGTGCTCCCCATATGCATGCTCACGCTTTAGAATTGCTTAAAGACAAGTTAAAACCTGGCGAAACAGCTTTAGATGTAGGTTCTGGGAGTGGGTACCTAACTGCATGCATGGCCATAATGTTAGGAAAAGATGGGTAAGTCAAGGCCAATAAATAAGATTTAAAAGATGTAAACTATTTAATAATTAATCTATAATACATAATATTAAAGCTTAGCAAATAAACATTCTTCCAAATTGGTCAATTACCACTAAGAACTGAATCATTAACTAAGACTGTATCTACTGTCCCTAGACAGTGTTTGATTAAATGATACAAACGCGTAATGAACGCCATCTATAGAGTATGTGTGGGACTCAAAAATATTTGACAAGATCCATAAAGATATCAACTTAAACTAAACCCACAACGAAGCTACTATTCGCAACCAAACAGAACTAAAGCTTCATAAAGCGCGGTTAAGATTCTATTGAAACCGTCATTCGTAAATTGCTATTTCAATTCCATTTGTTTTCGTTAGCAAATCTTAGATACTTCCGATAGATTAGAGAACACTTACAGTCTTTATACAGGGTTTGATGAATCACAACAAATAACTTAGTGAACACGAATTCTATCAAAAAGATACCCTTTATAAGATTCAAAAATGTTCGATAAGGTCCATAAAAAAATTGACTTATTAAGTTTAATCCGCTGCGCAACTACCCCCTACCCTACATGGTACACGTAACCAAACAGAACAGAAAGTTCATAATGGTCTCACTGGATATTCCTCAGCACTCCGGAACTTTACGCCATGTATTTTTTGTTTTGTTTGGTTGTAGCATTTATCATGAGTTTATGGACTCTGTGATAAGCCTGTCCATGGCTCCATGTACATAATTTTGTTCACAACATTAAATATTGCAAATTAGACTACGTAAAAAGTAATTTTTACGATGTGTGACTTTTTTTACTAGAGTAGCTGTGGGAATTGACCATATAGCTGAATTGGTTGAAATGTCTAAAGAAAATATGAAAAAAGGAAATCCAGACTTATTAGAGTCTGGAAGAGTTAAATTGATGGTAGGAGATGGTCGTAAAGGTGTACCAGAATTTGCCCCGTACAATGCTATTCATGTTGGTGCTGCAGCTCCTAAAGTTCCGGAAGTTTTAATAGATCAATTAAAGGTTGGCTGCATTTGTTTTTCTTTTTTATTAGTTAACCCACTACAAATAATTATTTGCAAATGGTTTTATCTGCCCCATCAGCTTCACATTTATGGTTTATACCAATATTTAAGGTAATTAAAGGTAAACGTATTATCTTTAATTCAAGGTGGGGGGTCGCCTTATAATTCCGGTTGGCCCATCTCCTGGCTATCAACAACTGGAGCAAATTGATAAAATGGAAGATGGTACTATACAGCGTACACCCCTGATGGACGTTTTGTATGTACCTCTTACAGATGAAGCCAGTCAGTGGCCGAAACATCAGTGACTAAAAATTTTAGGGCTTGGCGCCATCACCCTAGTAGCATTGATTATTAGTTCGAAGTTATTCTCACTATTATAATATTTATTTTTTGAAACTTGCATGCTATTTTAACCTGAGTAACATTTGCAATTTTAATTGTTTTAATTAATTTATTTTATTTATTTCCGCTGTAATTTAATAGGTAAAAATAAATCAGTTGTATGTTAAGATAGGTGAGCACAAAACAATTGTTTCTGTTGAAGCAAAATTTCATATGTATTTAATAACACATTGTGCATATATAAACTTAACAGAGAATGTATCCTTTAATTAGTTCCGTGTCAATTACGTATAACAATTGTTTGTCTTCCTCATTCATTGTAATTGTATTAATATTTTTTTAAGACGACAAATTATTTATTACAAATGGATATTTGAATTTAGTGCTGACAAGTCGGAATTGTATATTTTCTAGTCATTGTGTATTAAATTGTTTTTAAAGCAGTATGGATTTTTTCTGATTAGTAAGTATTTCAATTTCAAAACCTAGTCACCTAGTAATTTCATTTTTTGTTTAGTTTATTTTGTATACGTAAGCAAAAATGATGCGGCAAGTACCTATTTGAAACCGCACTTGAAGGACTTTGACACCATTAGATTGTACGCACTTCTTTACATAACTATCACTTCTAGAAAATTAGAAAATATGTTTCATCTTTCTGTAATTTCACGAGCGCCTTTTTATTTCTAATTTGTATCATATATTTTGATGAAAATAATGCCGGAATGTGCCTATTTGACACAGCACTCGAAAACCGTTGGCACCATGAGATTCTACGTACTTTTTTACATTATTATCACTTCTAGAAAGTTTGTTAATATCTTTCATCTTTCTATAATTTTACGAGCGCCTTTTTATTTTTAATTTGTATCATGCCGGAATGTGCCTATTTGACACCGCACTCGAAAACCGTTGGCACCATGAGATTTTACGTACTTTTTTACATTAATATCGGTTCTCACAAGTTAGTAAACACCTTTCATCTTTCTGTAATTTCACGAGCGCCTTTTTATTTCTAATTTGTATCATATATTTTGATGAAAATAATGCCGGAATGTGCCTATTTGACACCGCACTCGAAAACCGTTGGCACCATGAGATTCTACGTACTTTTTTACATTATTATCACTTCTAGAAAGTTTGTAAATATCTTTAGTCTTTCTGTAATTTCACGAGCGTCTTTTTATTTCTAATTTGTATCATATATTTTATTGAAAATAATGCCGGAATGTGCCTATTTGACAGCGCACTCGAAAACCGTTGGCACCATGAGATTCTACGTACTTTTTTACATTATTATCACTTCTAGAAAGTTTGTAAATATCTTTAGTCTTTCTGTAATTTCACGAGCGTCTTTTTATTTCTAATTTGTATCATATATTTTATTGAAAATAATGCCGGAATGTGCCTATTTGACAGCGCACTCGAAAACCGTTGGCACCATGAGATTCTACGTACTTTTTTACATTATTATCACTTCTAGAAAGTTTGTAAATATCTTTAGTCTTTCTGTAATTTCACGAGCGTCTTTTTATTTCTAATTTGTATCATATATTTTATTGAAAATAATGCCGGAATGTGCCTATTTGACAGCGCACTCGAAAACCGTTGGCACCATGAGATTCTACGTACTTTTTTACATTATTATCACTTCTAGAAAGTTTGTAAATATCTTTAGTCTTTCTGTAATTTCACGAGCGTCTTTTTATTTCTAATTTGTATCATATATTTTATTGAAAATAATGCCGGAATGTGCCTATTTGACAGCGCACTCGAAAACCGTTGGCACCATGAGATTCTACGTACTTTTTTACATTATTATCACTTCTAGAAAGTTTGTAAATATCTTTAGTCTTTCTGTAATTTCACGAGCGTCTTTTTATTTCTAATTTGTATCATATATTTTATTGAAAATAATGCCGGAATGTGCCTATTTGACAGCGCACTCGAAAACCGTTGGCACCATGAGATTCTACATACTTTTTTACATTAATATCGGTTCTCATATGTTAGTAAATACCTATCATGTTTCTGTAATTTCTCGAGCGCCTTTTTTCTTTCTAATATATTTTGTATATTTTAATGGAAATAATGCCGAAATGTGTCTATTTGACACAGCACTCAAAAACCGTTGACACCATGAAATTCTACGTACTTTTTTATACAATTATCAGTGTTTAAGGCTTAGTAAATATCTTTCATTGCCGAATAATTTAAGGAGCGCCTTTTTATACTAATTTTGACCAATCTTTCGGGAAATTAATGAGGCCATTTTTGTGTTTAATTTATTTCATAAATTTTATATTACTTCACCTATCGGTACTGTAGACAGATTTTGTTAAGTCTCAAATTAAAAATCTGTATTCACTAAAGAATATGTTCAAACATGATAATTAAAGCTGTGAAGTTATATTTAAATCAAAACAAGAAACATGAACTGCAAGAGAGGGCAATACTAATGTTATCAAACGAAAGGCAGGAAATGTTTATTTCATTTTTTATTTACTATTGTTAGCAAGTTAAGCAATGTTAAACTGTAACTTAAAAGATAACATGAACATAAGTGGGGTAACCATGGAAAGGAATGGATATTTTTAGACATAAAAATGTAATTAACTGAAAGAAAGTGATATTATTTACAATTAAATTTTACAATGGTGGAGGTTAAGTGGAAGGTACTCTTCCCCAACAAAGTCAGTGTTTTGGTTTTCATATTTTATATAGTGCTTTTTGTGAATCAAGGTAATTATAGTAATGAAGCTTTGCACGGGTGATAATTAAATCTTTCAGGTATCCTGGTAACAGCTTCCCAAAGTTTGGATAATAATTATAATTATGATATTGCTGCAGTAGTTCTCTTAACGGAAGCTCTCAAATTATGGATTTGTACACTGCTATATTGCAAAGAGTATGTTTCTACAATTAATGGAGTCGTTCACAAGAGATTTTATAATTTCTTTTTTCCAGCAACTCTATTTCAAATCTTTTTCATGCTGTACTTAAAAGTAGGAAAGTTATGGGACTGTATTTTATTCCAGCATTCTTATATTGCTTGTACAATAATTTATCATTCATAGATTTAGCTGTGTTTGATCCAACTACCTATTATTTGATGCTTCAATTACGAGTTGTTGTTACTGCGGTATTATTCCAGGTAATTTTATAATTTTTATATGATTATAACGTTCCTCAAATTTAAAAAATGCTCTATATAATATATTATGTAACTGTTAAGAGTAATATTTGTAAATAGAATTTATCAAACGTGGACTACCTACTCTATGTGATAAGCAAGTTTTTAATGCATCATCAAAAGGATGTCCTTAGATTGCCACATACGATTCATTTTAAACTGTGATAAGCTGACATATATCGCATAGATTCAGTGTTTTATGTGAAATGAAATTACAAAGTAAAATTTTGTTAGATTCGATTTCAAATATTTTAATTGTAAATGATTTAATTACCTAATTCTTTTGTCCTTTTAAAATAGTTTTTTGTTTTCTTTTGCAGCTTATATTTAGAAAAAAGCTTACAACATTACAATGGATATCGTTGCTTTTATTAACATGTGGATGCATGCTAAAGCAAGTGAATCTCTTCAACTGGGAGACCGGAAGCAGAAATGAACATAAAAAATCATTTCACTTAAATTTTGACCTGTACACAATTTACATTCTAGTCCAGGTTTTTTGTTCTTGTTTAGCTGGCGTTTATAATGAGTATTTGCTTAAAGAACCTGGAGCTACAGTTGATATTTACATACAAAATATCTTTATGTATTTGAACTCAATTGTTTGTAATAGTCTTTTATTACTTATCGAAGGTAATATATTGAATGTATTTACGTGGGAGAGTTTGAAAATAATCTTCGAATACAAGGTGGTTCTAGTAATGGTTAATAACGCTGCAATAGGAATAATTACAAGCTTTTTTCTGAAGAATTTAAACTCAATTTTAAAGACCTTTGCAAGTGCATTGGAACTTATTTTAACGGCTGTGTTTTGTTACATTTTATTTGGCATTCCAATTTATGTAAATACTGTTTTGTCCATCTTAGTTGTAATGGTAGCAATTGTATTGTACTCTCAAAATCCAGTACTGAATGTTGCAAGAAAAAATGACAAAGAAGATGAACTACTTATGGAAAAAGTTTAGCGATGATAAGGTGTATTTATTGTAAATATATTTATTATATATATTTAATATTTTATAAATTAGTTCAACATTCTACAATCTATAATATTCCTGTGCAATTTAATGCTTATGTTCACTGTCAGTGTCAACCTGCTCTCATTATAATGAACAAGTCCAAATTAAATAGTAATGTTAAGATTGTAACAGTATAGTATAATAGGAGTTTTACACTTTTTTAGTTTTATTAGAGGAAACTTATGAGACCATACCTCTTTTTACCTTTGGTTACTAAAAAAGTTCGTATAAACAGGGAAAGAATGGAAAATATATTCTTGCTCGATAGTGTGATTTAATTATGCTAGAAGTCACTGTATATCTCAATAAACTAAACCTTCGTCTATAGAAACGAAAGTTCAATTATCTTAATTGCTATTTCCCCGTTGTTTTTGGACAATTGTTGTAAATATTCGGTACTTCCCCAGTTGCATTATCTGGAACAATACGTGAACAAATCTATAATATGAACAACTGTTATATTTTTTCGATTCACACTTTCGCGTGCCTACTGTAAATATATTTAATTATTATTTTGCGTTNGGCATTTTTCAAGAGATCGGTGGACAAATTTTAGGTTTTAATAGAACTTTTGTATTAGTTTCAACAGACGGAGTTCAATATTTTATAATTAATGATAAACTACATATTAATCAAGCAACAGTGAAGCAATATCTTAATGCTTTTGAAGAAGTATCACTTAGTAATGTTAGTGCTGTATCAGACATAACGTCAATGAATATGCAATGGTCCAAAAAGTACATAAGTTTCTTTTAAATATTTCTAATTTTATACTACCAGATATATGCACTTTTAGTTTCTCTAGTTTATTATAAAAACAGTTAGTATATTTTTTTGCATTAAATTAAAAAAAAATTGCTTTTATAGATGTTTAAAGGATTGCAATGGCGATTTAAAAACAGCTCTCATTACTCAGAATAGCAAATGGGATGGAGTAGACTTTGACGACGAATGCAATATGAACACTGATTAAATGTTATCTCTTTTAATTGTGTTTATTTATTGTTTTACGCAACCAAAGAACAAAAGGTACCAAAAAAAAAATCAGAAATAAAGCTGTTTTACATAGTACCATTTTTTTTATTATATTAATTTATAATCAAATTCGTCTGTTTGAAAAATTTAAAACAGTAGTACAGAAGGAAATCATAAATGACAAATATTTCATAAAAGTTTTTTTAATTAAGTAAAAGATGTTATCAATTTTTTGTTTGTCTGTCGGTACGGGTTAGAATTCAAAAGGACTTAACAAGCATAAAGAGGAGATTGCCAAAACTCGTCTGGGCTACTTTTTATAGACAAATGAACAAAAAAATGTATCAATATAAATTAATAACTAAAATTAGTGATAAGTGACGTCAAGTTTACTAACGATCGGTACTTGATATTAGAATCAAGGAATACGGAAGTACACTTAAAAAGTTCAGTAAAACATTATTGTGCGTTTATCGTGAAGTGTAACAGGAAATACAAGATGTTTTTAATAAGCTATATTAAAAATTATACCTATCACATGTTAGTTTTTGGACAAATACTATAAGTATTACATATTATTTCAATAATTTTTTAGATATAGAAATATAATATACGAAAAAACATGCATTCTAGTATTAGTAATTTATATTAATTACTCTTTTAGTTACATATACTATAATAAATTATCGGTAATATTTACATTATAATTATTTCAAGCGTCAGCTAAACATTTGTTACAATGATTTATTAATAATTTCTGAACAATTACGGGCGCAATTTGATTAATTTTTATATATAGCATGTACAATAATTGATAAGGATGGCGATATGACTGATTATTGATTTCAAAGTCCGAGTGTATTTAAGTTTGTCAAATATAGAAAATTTTTCTCTACCTATACCTGTAAAGCAAAAAAATAAGAATGTTATCAACATATCGAGATACCAATTGAATATCAATATCTTCAGTAGTAATGGAGTTCGTACGATTTAAATTGAATTGTACCTATTTAATAAAAATTATACAGGCCAAACTGATCGAACTTTTAAAAAAAGGAATGGCGAACATAAAAAATATTTTACATGCAAAATAAAAAACATATTATCAATGAAGATTTCATTGTTTTTTATTTATTGATGAATAAGTTTCGTCGTTAAAATCATCAACAAACGATCTTTTTAAAAAATCAATTTCAATTTTATGTATTGATATAATCAGGGACGGATTATAGGTAATAATCTATGTGAAGACCATATAATTTTATCGTTTTTATAATTTTTAATGAAAATAAACTGTAACGTTCAATATTAACTCGATACTGGTTCTGTATTTATAGCAAACTATTATGATATTTGATTATTCAGTTCTTGGTAAAAAAAAGTTGTTATAGTGGTAAACCTTAATTGTTATAAATAGAAATAATTCGTACAAATTCGTCCTTAATCGTTTATAAAATCGTTTATAAATACGAAAACGGTTGTGCAGTAAATGTTGCCGTTTTACCGGAGTTCAAATGCAAATCCAGTACACAATATACATATAATTTTTTACAACAAAACGTCCTACACCACGACTTTAATAACTTGTCCATGGTCACTGCCAAACCGATTCTACTGGAATAGAAAAGGTAAGTCTTTAATATTTTCTAGTGACACCTAAATGTATCATACAAAATAAAGAAAAACAATGTTCGAAATATGTTTCTTTGAAACCTAAACTCATGAACAACCAAAGTTTAGATATATTTTTTATTAAAACAGCACAATCTGTATATGTATATGTATTGTGGCTCCACCAGTTGGATATATATCTGAACCCTTTAGTAGTTTCAAATATCATTGGGGCATTGGCTTAATTAATGTTATGGCGTTAATTAGTATTAAAATTTAAGAACTTAACCATTTGGAAAAGATTTTTTTGTATCAACACAATTGCAATTTCTTTCTTTTGTTTTTCTCATTTTCTTAAAAAAGATAATAAGTAAATATCTTAAATCGTTGCGAAATCTCAAAAAAAAAAACAGTGAATCACTATGTTTATCAAAAATATATCTGTTGTTTGATAATTGTCTCGCCACGATAATATAAATGGAATTAATGGATATCTTGTGACAAAAAAGAAATTCAAGATAGGGTATTCGTATGGTTGTTATTAATGTATGATATGATTTGCATAAGTACGTGTTTTTTATTCAGTTTAGTTAAGCTCTTTGAAACTTTTGTGACTCATCTGTGTCTAGACCTGAATTAATGAGTTTTTTGCTTCTTACTCTAAAATATTAACACAAAGTGATATAGTCGTATGTTGAAATTGTTAGGTATTTTGCAAAACATGTAATGTATGCAGATCATATAAACATCCATAAAGTAATTAATGTATGTATACTACTTAATTTTAACGGCAAATTACATTATTAAAAAGTTCTATGATTAGAGTGTGTAATTATGCAGTAGGTTGAATATAATAATTAAGACAATATTAAAAAAAAAACATTATTTTTTGAAATCTGGTAATACTTTGAGCATATTTTATTTGATTTAAAATTAAGACATTCTAATTTTCGTTTCAGAATATTCCCCAAAAGAAGTTATTAAATTTGATAAACAATAGTTATCTAAATACTATATGCATTAAGAATGACTTCCAAACAAAGAAAAATTATTGGAGGTTGGAGCCAAGTTCTTACACGAAAACCGTTAGAAGAATTCAGTGTGAATATATACGGAATGGTTACTAATTTGGACACACTTACAACAGGAGCTGGTTGGAGTCCAAAAAAAACCACCGCTCCAAGATTTGAAGGCTTCGACTCTGTTAAAATTCTTTGGACATACGGCGGGGAAGGCTGTTCACCTTGCTCAAGACCAGCTACTTCCGATGAAGTCAATAGGATAGTTCAAGTAACTCAGAATAGCAAATGGGATGGAGTAGACTTTGACGACGAATGCAATATGAACACTGATAATATTATTGAAGTCATGAAAAGCCTTAAGAATGAAGGGAAAGAAACAAGTTACGGTTTTATTGCTGGCTGGGATTACAATAATCCAAACAATGGCTCAAATGGGAAAAAACTAAACGAGAACGTTAAAAAATTAGCTTGTTCCGGTGTTTGCGATAAACTCGTCCATTATTGCTATGGCGCCGCCATGTGGTCGGATGAAGACATCAAAAACAATGTTAGGCAAGCTCTTGAAAGAAGCATCAATAATGGGATGCCAAAAGAAAACATTATTCTAGCTTTGACGTCAGCAGGATTGAACGATACGAATCTAAACTATTTTCTGGACGCGATCGTTGACATTGATGTTGGCGGTCTTTTTATTTGGGCTTATCATAATCTCAGCAAGCAGCAGAGGAAAGCAATACTTCAGAAATTACCTCAGTGATAGTAACAGTAACAAAAATTGAAGGATGTGCTTCAAAAACTATTTCTAATATGTTATTTCAATATAATTCGTTTATAAGTCGATAGGTTTAGTTAAAGCAATATTTTTAAGATGTAACAGCATCTCTATGTTATTTATAAAATATGTTGTACTCAACTTCCAAACATTGAAAATAAATTAATGGTTTTTGTAATGAATGAATTTGTTTTCTTGGTGACTGTGAAAAAGCCATCCGCTTTATTTTTATTCGCGTAAATTTGTGAAGTAATTACTTTCATAAAGTTTATTCTTATTCTTTTATTTGATTATTTTTCTTATTCTAATTCTTCATTTGCTTTATTTAGAGCAATAGCTGCGTTTTCTATTTGTATAATCGGAATGGTTAAAATTCTAACAACTACAAACCCAAAAATTATCGGTGGTTGGTCCCAAAGTCTGTCACAGAGACCTTTAGAAGAATTTAGCGTTAACTCATATGGTATGGTGACCAATTTAAATAATTTTACTACTGGTAGTGGTTGGAGTCCAAAAGAGACCTCAGCTCCACAATATGGTGGTGTTAAAATCCTTTGGACATATGGGGGGGAATATTGCTCTCCAATTTCAAGGCCTGTTTCTGCAGATGAAGTGAGTCAAATAGTTCAAATGACCTTACAGAATGGCTGGGATGGGGTTGACTTCGACGACGAATGTGGTATGAACATTGATAATGTAATTGCCGCAATGCAGGGTCTTAAGAAAAATGGAAAACAGACGAGTTATGGGTTTATTTCCGGTTGGGGATACAACAATCCTGAGAAAAATGATAATGGACAAGAATTTAATGATAAAGTAGCGAAATTGGCTAGATCAAATTTCTGCGACAGAATCATTCACTATTGTTATGGAGATGCCATGTGGTCAGACGTTCACATTGCGGCTAATGTAAGATCGGCATTGAAAAGGACCATCAATAATGGAGTGCCTAAAGAAAAAGTTTTTTTGGCGTTGACTACAGTTGGCTTAAATTTTGAAAATCTTAACTACTTTTTAGACGCTATTTTTGACTTTGACATTGGTGGACTTTTTATTTGGGGATACAACGACCTCGTTCCAGAACAACGCCAGTTAATTCTTGCAAAGCTAGCACAATAATTATATATTTGTAGTTACTCAAATATTTAATGAAATAGCTGTAAAGATTTAGATACTAAAAATTGGTTGAATATATGTGTGTAATCAGACAAACAAGATTTTTTTCAGACATATGATGACCATTAATTTTAATACATATTGTTCTGGTTTCTTTTTTAAGTGATAGAAATGTAGTTTAACTTCTTCACATTTAACATTTCCTTTCTCATTTATATTTAGGGGTGTCGTTTCCGACCCTTGATGAAATTATTCAACGACAAAAGGAATCCCTTGCATTCGAACTAACTCCCCAATAAAATCCAGCACATGGTTATCACTTGTCAAAGCTTAGTAAATACCTTCCATTTCCTAATGATTCCACGAGCGCCTTTTACGATTAAATTATTTTGTATATTTCAGCTAACATACTGCCGCAAGGTGCCTATATGACACCGCACTAAAAAACCCTTGGCACCACGAGATTCTGCGTATTTTTCTACGTAGTTATCACCTCTCAAAGATTAGTAAATACCTTCCATTTCCTAATGATTCCACGAGCGCCTTTTACGATTAAATTATTTTGTATATTTCAGCTAACATACTGCCGCAAGGTGCCTATATGACACCGCACTAAAAACCCCTTGGCACCACGAGATTCTGCGTATTTTTCTACGTAGTTATCACCTCTCAAAGATTAGTAAATACCTTCCATCTCCTAATAATTCCACGAGCGCCTTTTACGATTAAATCATTTTATATATTTCAGCTAAAATATTTCTGGAAGGTGCCTATTTGACACCGCATTAGAAAACCTTTGGCACCACGAGATTCTGCGTATTTTTCTACATAGTTATCATTTCAATTTCTTTAATTTTTAATTATTGATTACTATTCATCTATCAAAAAAGCATGATGGCCGACAACAGCAACAATTAGAAAAGAATGATGGCCGACAACAGCAACAATTAGAAAAAATGATGGCCGACAACAGCAACAATTAGAAAAAATGATGGCCGACAACAGCAACAATTAGAAAAAATGATGGCCGACAACAGCAACAATTAGAAAAAATGATGGCCGNAATAGTATTTTATATTTTTGATGAATTTAGGTTATAAACAAATAAATGATAAGGAGCCATATAAGAAGTCGTTAAAATACGTAGAGGTTTTTAAAAATTAAGATAAAATTACTAATTATTTAGTTGAACTAACTTTACCACAAAGCAATTATGGGAACTGCTGTTTTAAATGAAGTTGACATTACAGCAACTCACCTAGATAAATACAAGAGACTTATTGAAAGCACAAAACACTGGCATAAGTTTATTGTAAGTTTTTCTTTTGTTCGTTATTTTATTAAAAAGTTTTGCTTCGTTTTCAGATAACTAACTCAGCAAGTATAGATAGAAATATCCTACTGGATTCTGTTTTACGCACTGTATTTCCGAATGAGTTACTGCCTCTGCATTTTAAAAAGGAGTATATAAACAGTCATTTTTTAGCAAGAAATTGCAAAAATGCTATAGAAGAGTTATACAATAAAGGACTAGTCATCCCAGATCCAGTTCATGGAGGAATGGTCTGTATTGCTGCGAAAGCATCAAATGTTATGTAGAATACTATTGTTTTAAATTTTAGCTTAATGTGACAATTATTTTGGGTTTTAAAAGGTTGTCTGATTTAGACTTTAATTACTATGAGAATATCACAATGGTGATTCATAAAAGGTATAGTAAGGTTGATGGTACACTAAATTTATCAAGATTTCATGAGGATCATGGTACGTTTATCATAACAATGATGGATCATTTTTGATATTTGGTAAAATTGTTTATAGAGTTAACAGAGTATTTCCCTTTATTCCAACCAAGTATTTTAGAGGGTGTATTAAGGATATGCAAGGGCATTAACATAAAAAATTTAAATTTATCTGAAAATAGAATAAGCCAATTGAAATCCCTTCTATCAATTTGTAAATATATGGATATTAAAAAATTGGATTTGAGTAAAAACATGGTATGTTTACAAATCTTAAAATTGAAATTATTGATGTAAAATTTTCTGTGTCATTCCAGATTAATACATTTGAGGAATTACAAGTATTAAGGAACTTTAGTAGTATAGAAGAAATAATTTTAAAGGATAATCCTTTTTGTGCACAGTACGATGAGTACAGTTACGTGAAAGCAGTATTAACTGTACTACCAAACTTAAAGAAACTGGCAAGCTGTTTTATTTTATTGTCTTGGCACTTTTTAACATTTTTTTAGAATTTCAGGACTTTCTAAGAGTTCAAAAAGATGATTTGTTATCCTTTAAAAAAAATTATTTGTGTTGCCCCGAGGGCCACGATTTTGTTGATCAGTTTTTAGATCATTTTTTTATTTTATATGACAAGCAAAGATCATCTTTGAGAGACATGTATCACTTAGGCGCCACACTTACAATTTCTTGCCATTACAACAAAAATAAAGAAAAATATGAAGATGCAGAGTAAATAAGTATATAATCAGTGGAATAGAAAGTGATTATAATTGTATTGTACAACTCAAAATATTTTAATCGAAATAGTTAAGAATGTCAGTATCATTTCCACAACATTTAGTGAACATAAAATATTTGATATTGAGACCTTTTTAAATTTGCAATTTTTGCATCCCTTTTCCTTTTGTTACAGAAATAACAACGCTTCAAACTTTTATCATTAAAATCGCAAATATGAGTTCAATACTTTGGAATTCTGTAGCAGCTAATCAGATATGCATGTAATATTTATTATTACTTTCTGTTTCACTAGTTGTTCATGATTAGAAAGTTAAATAAGTAACTAGTCGTTAATTAGGTATTTTTTCTAGTTTAGAATGCTACACAAGTTTTGCAAGAAATTTGAAAACCCTTTCAGGCATTACAAATAGTTATGATAATATGTTTGTGGGTTGTGATAATATTATGGCAGTTCTTTGTCAGTTACCTCCCACAAATCACGACCCTTGCTCATTTACCGTTGATTTGGTTTCGTTTAACGTAAGTGTGATTCTATTCCGTTTTGTTTATTTGAAGATTTATTACATTTTTGCAGTACAACTTTGCAATGGTAATGGTAACAGGCATTTTTCAAGAGATCGGTGGACAAATTTTAGGTTTTAATAGAACTTTTGTATTAGTTTCAACAGACGGAGTTCAATATTTTATAATTAATGATAAACTACATATTAATCAAGCAACAGTGAAGCAATATCTTAATGCTTTTGAAGAAGTATCACTTAGTAATGTTAGTGCTGTATCAGACATAACGTCAATGAATATGCAATGGTCCAAAAAGTACATAAGTTTCTTTTAAATATTTCTAATTTTATACTACCAGATATATGCACTTTTAGTTTCTCTAGTTTATTATAAAAACAGTTAGTATATTTTTTTGCATTAAATTAAAAAAAAATTGCTTTTATAGATGTTTAAAGGATTGCAATGGCGATTTAAAAACAGCTCTCATTACGTTTAATGAGCTTTTTCAAATAGATGAGATTCCAAAACAAGCATTTGATAGGTAGGATTAATGTTAGTTTTCTTCTTATTGTATAAGATTTTAAATAAGTTATTAATAATTAACTTCTTTTTATTGTAGGAGTTTATTTTCGATTGATTCCATTGAATTTAATTTCAAAAATAAGTTAGATATTGCGAAAAAACCATTAAAGACTAGCATTAGCATATTCCAATCAATAGACTATACACCCAACGACTTTGTATGCAGTAAGGACCAGAAGTCTAAGGATAAGGAATTCTATCTCATTTCCTCAAATAATCGAAATAAAAAAATACAATTAATAGACGATTTACAAAAGCAAAATGACACTTTTAAATTGGCTAGAAAGAATTTGGATTTTAAAATGAAACAAGTAAACGATGCCAAAAGAGCTGTGTACATTAGCAATAACGAGGATAAGGATATACCAAGACATCAGGGAATTTATTCTCCAAATCCATCTGAAAAGAACACTAATTTAAATGACAAATACATAACACCATTTGAGCAACAGAAAGTAAACTCGCAAAAATTGAATCAGACTGTAGAAGGCTTAAAAATGAAAAACAGGAATGAGTTAGTGGATCATAATTTTGATTTTGAATGTTATAATGAGAGTGGCAATGATAAAGATTTTAACCAGGTAAAAACAAGGAGGTGTCTTTAAAAAAATGCTGTTTGGAAGGGATTATTGATATTATATATTAAATAAAATGTTATTTTTCAGAAAAATGTAAATCCAAGACCTTATGCCAAAAAGTCAGTTCCCAAAAACCAAAATTTCTTACCTAAATATACAAACATTTCCTATTTTAAGAATGTGAACAAATCTATGTTTGTAAAAAGTGATGTTAATAATATAAAAGTTACACAGATAAATCAAAACCTGCAGACACAAAAGAAATTTGCTAGAAATGTGAAAACCCTATCGACACTTGCCAAAGCAGCTTATAGAAAGGTTCAGTAAAGTAACTTGCAGAATTATAAATAGTTTATTCTAACTTTTGTGTTTTTTAGCTGCAGAGAAGATTGGTAGGTACAGATTGGAAAAAAAACTATGCAGTTGACCATTCTAATTCAGTTGAGCGCTATCGCTCTAGGACAACCTTTAGACTAAGTTATCTAGCATATTCTGTATATGTGAATGTAAATAATATGTTTATGTATATATACACAAAGTGTTAATCTTTTTCTCGTTGTAGTTAGTACACAAAACACGAGATAGAGTGGGAAGAATTTTCAACATTAGTTTTAACGACCTGTATCTGATTTATAAAAATTTTATTCGCCAACCTTACGGTAATAGTATACAATTCGAAAATCACGAAAGGATACAATTTTTTGGTGTTGCGAATACATCTGTTTCATCACAAGCTAATGTACGCCTTTTTTCCACTAATAGCGTAAACTCGATTTTGAGCAGAGAAACTAAAATAGTTCCAGTATCATTACCCTCTTGTTTGTATGGTAAGTATGTTACATGGTATTAAAAAGAAAAAAATTAACGTAGTGTAATTTTTTAAGGAAATATTACTGGATCAGTGCAAAATTCTTTTGTCAGAACTAGCAGAAAAAAAGAACGCATAAGGGTGAGTTGTTAAGTAAATTATGTGTCACTGTAGGATTTAAGTTAAGAGTTAATTAGTGTATCAATATTAAGCTCCATCATGTACATGGGTCTTTATTCAACCATCAAAGTCAACCGAATATAAAAAAATATTTATTTTAAGTTAATGTTTATTAAAAACTTTAGCAAGGCCGTAAGCGAAGATCTTTATTTCGTCAGACTGAAAGATTGAAAAAATTGAAAGAAAGTGAGAGCAACTCCAACTATAAAATAATTAATAATGAAGTTTGGGTACAACAAGGACCACTTACTTGTAACAAGTACACGGAACTATATTCCTCATGGAGTTCTAAAGGTATGACTGAATTTTAAACTGATTTTGATTGATTTATAACATCAAATTTTAGAAAAACAAAGCGCAAAATCATCGCAATCGAAGAAGAGCGAAGAGAAGAGAAGAAAGAAGAGCTACCCTGTAAAATATGCGTGAAATACTAACTAAGGCTGGACAGTAATTTATATACCTACTTACATTTGTTAAATAAATATGTAATTGTCACAAAATACTTAAATAAATAGATTATGTAAGCACCTACTTATTTTTTTCTGACTTGCAAATATTTTATACCATAGTACCAACATACATTTTTATCCTTATCCTATATTAAAATTTTGAAAGTATATGATTCCCTTAACAAATCTGCAAAGAGCTTTATGACAAAAATAAAATGGTAAGTATATAAAATTAATTTTTGTTTATTATTTAAGTAACGTGTGATGTATAATATATAAAATAAAAAGATTTTTTAATCTGATTCTCTCTCGCCCCCCACCCCTCACCTACGACGAATGATTTTTGAAAAAATCAATTGTCAAAAAGATATATAACACGCATAAGAAATAAGAACATAGATTTTCACGTATTTGGGCTGATGAGACATGGCCCAAAAGAACGATTAATTCATGCAAATTGAATGAAGGGGTAGTTCCGTTCTATTTATTCACGCATTTTTTAAGAAAATCTAACTATACCTGCATTTTATTTATCTAACCATCGTTATAGTAAATCAGTAGTATTAAAATTGTTAAATCTTGGCCCCCTCCACCCATGCAGCAAGACCATAACGGCAGGCTCTCCCTCTCCCCCAGTTTGCGATACGTACTTTATGGACAGCCACTATACATATAGAAACTGTATTTCAAGCACCACATTTATACGTATATTTTTGATACAAGAGTGATTAGCTATTGTGCATTTTTAATTGCAAAATTGGCTCATTGTGGCTACCAATCAGTATGCATATACAAAAAAAATTGATATGAAATTTTAGTTTGTATAAATACTGTTACACACGTAGGTACACTGGCTTTTACTCATATTTTTAGAGAAAAATAAATGTAGACCTGCTCAACATCATTTTTAATTTGTTTAAAACTTTACAAAATCGTAAGAGCTCGCAGAAACTGTTTAGGTATTTTTAAGGACTTTAATATGCCACAAAGGTATATAAATTTTTAATTTTATTAGCAGGGTAGATGATATTAAAAACGAAACTAAAACTGAATATTAAGCGCAATTATATACCAATTAATGCTTTACATCAAATATGCAGAAATTAGTAAATTAAAATTAGAAATAAAAATATAATAATAAAATCAAAAATGAAGTCATTCAGGAATTTGACTCGAATATACAATGCAGTGGTTGTAAAAGCGAGAGATTATTCACAAGAGAATACTGAATTAATAGAGGTATCTGTTTAATTATACTAAAGCAAAATACTATAAGGATTATAAGATAAAGCTAAAATCCAAAAGCTCAAGCGTTTGCTGTTTGTAGACTGTGAATTTTATGCACAAACGAATGCTTTCAACAAATGTAATATCAAATTAGATCGATTATTTTCGACTAGAGAATTTAAACGTATATGTAGATATTTGCTATCTACACACATCTCTAGTATTTTGCAAATTAACACATGGATGTCCTCATTCGGTTTAAGGGCAATACCTAATCGATCGAACGTAACAAAGCATTTTCAAATGATATATTAATGTGCGGTTTGTCTTTGACAATATAATTAGTTGTATTAATTTTTGTGAACTCGTTCAACCGTTGGATTTTAGTATTGTATTCTCTATTTTCTAAACGTAGCTGAACCACCGGAACTTTAAAAATTTTTATTGCATTTTTTTTATCATATATTAAGCTCAAAATCACAAGGAACACAATTTGTCGTTATGCCGCTGTATGTTGTGAGCAAAGTAAAACTTTTGCCCAATTGTTGGTTACTACGTCGCATTGATGACGAAATACCATTCTCCCACCTCCAATGCAATGTTAAGGGCTCAATTGATCAATGATCTTGTTCTGCCCATCCTAGCTGCGTCGATTGACGACTGCCACCTTAATTTTTTAAGCTGATTCCCATATTTATCGTTTGATACTGTTATTCGTTATCTGATGTAGCAGTCACGTACTATCACTGTTCAATACTTGCAATTAATAGTAAAATTGGACTAAACATGGTCTATTTGGTTTAATTTATATATTTGTTTAAAATAAATGAAGTGCTTAGGATAGCAAATATTTCATTTGTTTTACGTAATTACCTAATCAATTTTGTAGCCAAGAGTGACAAACAAAATTAATTTCTGCCATTAATGTGTTTTAAAATGTAACTGCAAACGCTGTATGCTAAAATGTACAAAGGAGGTAGAGAGATATGTCCGTAGGGCACTCTCTGAAACTGTCAAAAAACTGTTTTGATAATAGACATCAAAACATTTGATATTCAACAGAATTGAATTCTCGTTCAGTTTACTTTGCAGTATAGTTTGGTGGAGGCTTTAATCCTGCTTTTTTTCCACAATAAAACTAAACCACCGGCATCAAGTCCGCAATTCCCGGAGTGAATGTTTTTGTTACGTTCGTTTATACTCGGCGAATATGAATTTGGAAATTGTTTTCCAGTAACCCTGTAATGAAAACAGGAAATATTGTCCCAAATCATTAAAACGGTTAAACAATCCCATCGGCGATGTTATTGCGCCAGCATTGTTATTTAAAACATTGACGAGGTAATAATTATGGTATTAATTCAACTATTAAAATTTAAATGAACGAACTTTATCAACTTTTTATCAACAAATGAAAATGCACTCAATAGGAACTAAATAAAAAAATAATAAAGATAGAACAATTAAGCGTTAATAAAAGCTACTTTTCTAATTACCGAGGTATGATCTGCAAGATGGGTACCTATTTACAGCGCTTTGACTTCAATGAGGAATATTTATTGATCACATTCTATTTATTGATTACATTTATGGCTGTTGCAGTATATGCTTTTAAGAAATTAAGTGTATAATAAGTAGAGAGTATTATCACCTAGCAAGTAGGAGTTAGAGACATTTTTAAATAAAATGGAAGCGGTATTAACAAAATAGTATTGTATGAAAATAAATAAAAGTAAAACAAAAATACTGGAATACATTGGAAGAAAAAGTAGTGAAAGAGCAAATATAAAGATAGGAGACGAAAAATTAGAAGAAGTGGCTGATTTTAGGCATCTAGGAAGTCAGATAAGTCAGGACGGAAGAAGTAGTAGGGATATAAGGCAGAGGATAGTGCAGGGTCGTGTAGCCTTCAATAAAAAGAAGTCACTTCTATACTTACGAAGGGTTAATTTAGAAATTCGAAAAAGTTTGTTGAAGGTGTATGTTTGAAGTGCGGCGCTGTACGGGTGCGAAACATGGACAGTGGGCGCGGCGGAAAAGAAAAGGTTAAAAGCCTTCGGTATGTGGTATTACAGATGAATGATGTGGATATCGTGGATAGAGAAGGTTAGAAATGAAGAGGTATTAGAAAGAATAAGAGAACAGAGGACTCTATGGAAGTCAATAGGAAATGTTAGAGACATATTAGAGGCAGAAACGGGAGTTACTGTTCGCAAATAGTTAAGGATGTTCTAGTTTTAAGGAAATGCGAAGATTGAAGGTGCGTGTTCAACAGTCTTAGGACTGACGACTTTATGAAGTAGACACAAGCGCATTTTGTGACCCATGAAATTATAAAGTACCTCTAGCAATAGTTGATGAATTAATAAATAATTTACGTTAAACAACAACTGTTTTATGAATAAATACGATTCAACTTAATTAGTTGCTACAGCGCGAATTAGCGAAGTAGTTTTAGAGTGTTCACTTCAACACAAATTTCCTTTTATTATGACTGGTCTCGAAAACTGTAATGGAAGTTAAATGTTTTCATTTTTAACGCCTGTCTAGAAATATTTCATTCTATTGTAATGAAACGTAACTTCCTCTCTTCGATTTTGCACCGCGATGCACCTAATACCGTTGGTTTTATCTGGGATTAGTTGTCTGTAATAAGTAGCAGAAAAGTTTCGATATTCTGTATTCTCCCGTTTCTTTGTTTCTGCAAAAAAACAGACAATACAAAACATGGAATCTTTTGAAAAGGGGGATAATCTCAAGAGTTAATCTTAATCATGAAATTGTATTACAACTTCCTTAAATTATTTGACTATTACCTTTTATTATTTAATACATAATTATAATCCGAATTTCCTCTGGCTATTGATTAATATTTCTGGAAAAGCCATAAATAAAAGCTCTCAATCACTTAGGAATACAATATTTTGAAATATGTATCGATTTCATAATTTACTGGCGGAGAGTTTAATTGAATTTCCATGTATATAATACATGTACATACTTTTTCGAATAAATATGATATTCTGTTTAGTAGGCACCTAACGGTATGTTTTGACAGGTTATAAGCAGGTAATCCAATTGTACATCAATCGATCTTTCATATTAGATGAAAAGAAAAGGCGGAGTACCAGAAGGGAAACACAGCTGCGTTATTGGAGTTGTTGCTTTTAAAAAGTTTCCATTGGGGTTTGAAAAAGCCTATGCAAAGCACTCAGTCTACATACAAATTAATTTAAGGTGAAAGTTGGGAATATTAACGCGTATGCCGAAACTTTTCTTTCAAAATTTTCGCTGAAATGGGCGTATATTTAATATTTCTCGGGATTTTATAGCTTGAAAAATTTTGTGCGCCAAAGACGTCAACATAAAACAATTGTCTCTATTACTTTCATGTTTCCACTTTCCCTTTAAATTGAGTTTTGTTTTTTTGGAGTGGTATTATGTCTATTAACTAAATGAAGGCACGATAAAATACGTCGAATTTATTTATCGGCATTTCTTTTTTGTCGTATGAGCTAAAATGCTCATGTTTTTTCAGTTATGTCTATCCGAAAACTAACTGAACACTCTAAATCTTTTGAACAAACGTAATATCTCTCAATGGGTTTAAATTGCATTTATTGGACTTATATTCCTTTAGTATTTGTATAAGATGATAGCTAAAGGTATTTGTACAAATTTTCCTGTATCACGTCGTATTTTCAAAAGATGATTCCGTCCTGTTGTTCTCAATTTGCCTGTAAATGCTGTGTATGTGATCGGCACAAATCAAATTAATAAGGAACATCAAGTTGGAAATATCGATTTACGAATGGTAGTCTCAAAAAATTACTGACCAATGC